AGTAAAACTAGTTTAGCAGGGTAATTAAAAGCAAATAATGCTCTATTGTTTCTCTATTTTACAAGAGTTGAATCTGGTAATATATGTTTAACATTTACTGAACTCTATATAGTTCACTCGCCTCTGTTGCTTTATGGAGACTAATTCTAAATACTTTGCAGTGCTATTTCATTCTAGAGTGATAATAAAATTTACGAACAATACTTCTTTCCTGAACACCAAACTTATATAACCAATTGTCTCCTCAACATCTTCACTTGGTGAACTTATTGGCTCGTTCAAAATTGGGCTTGTAATATCCATTGTTACACCTCAAACACACACACACAAATTATCCCACCAACTTTCCTTTCTCAATGATGGCAACTTCCAGTTGCTCAAGTTAAAAGGCCTAGAGTCATCCTTAAATCTTCTCTTTCACTCAAACCTAATATTCAATCTCAGGAAATTCTACAGGTTCTACCTTCAGAATATGGAGTTTAACTAATCTCCACTTCCCTCCTGGCTACCACTTCAGCCCAAACCATCTTCCTCTCTCCCCTGTATTAATGGAACAACAACCTACCTAGCTCCCTAATTCCGTTCTTGAGAAACATAGTAGTAGGTCACTTTATTACTCTACTCAAAATTTCTCAATGGCCTCTCACCCTTGCAGGTTAAAGTCCAAAATACTTATAATTACTCTAAGACCATACATGAACTGGGACTAGTAACAAGTTCAACCACGTCTCCTGATACCCTTCCCTTCAGTCATCCCTCTGTCCACACGGTTCTTGTTTCTGAAGAATGATGCACTACAAGGGCTTTGCTTGAGATGCTCTCCTCCCGTTATCCTAAGGCTCTCTCCCAACTCTCATTCAAGGCCTTGTTCAAGTGTTCCTTTATCATTGAGAATTCTAAATTTTAATCTCTTATTACTTAGAAATCCTTGTCCCTCTCTCCTGATTGATTTTCCTTTCATAGCAGTGATGATGAAAATTTGTCTTAAATTCATCCAACTACAAGAGCATAACTGGCCAAGGGACCCAGCTGCTGCGCTCTGATTCCATCCCTGTGTTTCCAGAAGCTTTCCACAGCCAGTGATGGAATGTGGCAAGAATGTTAAAACAAGCTCATTTCTGGAAGAAAGTACAATTCTCTGGTATCTGACTCTGACACGAGGACCCTCCATAATGGCCTCCCCATTACTTAGGCTGTGCCTCAAATGAGTCTATTTCAACTCAACTTTCACTCCCTCTCTCCTGCACCTGATGCAGGCTAGCACGAGAGTCTGACAACTCTTTCAAACCTTCCCAGCTCCTCTTTTGTCTGATGCCCTCCTCATTTTGTCTCAGCTAGGCATTTCCCCTAATAAAATGCTGTGTAATTAAATCACATGGCACCTGTCTATTTCTAGAATTTCTGATCTAACACAATTGCCTTATAGCCTACTGTATTTTCCTTATTTATGTTTATCTTATCTGTGCACTAAAATATAAGGTTTTTTTCATTTAAAGATCATTTTATTGGTGGCTTTTACAGCTCTTATAACAATCCATACTGTCAAGCATATCTGTACATATGTTGCCATCATTATTTTCTAGACACTTCCTTTCTAATGAACCCTTGGTATCAGCTCTTCTTTTTTCCCTCCCTCCCCACCCCTACCCTTGTGACCCTTTGATAAATGATAAAGTTTTTTTTTTATTTCTTACACCAATCACTGTTCCCGTTTCCCTCGGTTTCTGTTGTTCTTTCTCCTGGAGGAGGTAGTATGTGGTTATGTGTCAATCATCGTGGTTGGCTCCCCCTTCCTCTCCTCTTAGCCCCACCTTCCCCTACCCTTCTGGGATCGCTACTCCCATTCCTGTTCCTGGATTCTGTGTGTTGTGAGCTCTTCTCTCTTAGCTGTATCTGTCCACATGCTCCAGTCTAGCCCGCAGTGAAAGACAGTACTTCATAATAGTGGGGAAATATTATCACATCTATGATGTGTAAGGCACCATACTAAATGTATCACAGACATTTAGTATGGTGCCTTACACATCATAGATGTTAAACAAAAATGTGTAGAATGAATGAATAAATACTAAATTCTTTACATTGTTAGCAAAGGGGCAGGTGGAACTTCTGAGACCATAGCCCTTAGTCATCCAATAGGCCTAGAAACCCAACCTACCCCTGTAGTAAACTAGTCAACCATTTAACATCTATGCCAGTGTTCAGAGAGTTAGGAAAGAAGAAGGAAGTGAAACAGGAAATATGAGGAGAAAGTGGAATCAATGATGGCTCATTGCAATGGATGAATTGAAACTAGATGTGTATGAACTGCTGAGTGATGATCTGCTCCCCAGACCTTCGCCTAATTCACAAGGAAAAGTTCTTTCAAATGTTAGCAAATATTATTGCTAGCATCTAAACAACTGAATAAATACAAGATGATGCCAAATCAATTGGCACAATTCTGCTGTCTTATAAATCCCCTAATCATCTTATTTCATCTAATCCTCCCTTACATTAGAAAAACTTGGATTTTCCTATAGCAGAAATGAACTTTGAGATGCAAATTGTTTTTAGGAAAAGATCCAGACTAATAATTGGATGACTGCCCGTCTGTTCTGGGCAGCAAATATGCAATTCTGACTGAGATATTTATCATTTACTCCTCTCTTGTCTTTAATTTCAGCCAAGATTTGCAAATACACAAAATCAAAGTCTTGAAGGTTTGAATTTTTTTAAGATTAAGTGTTTATTTCATTGTAATCAAACTGAGCCAATTCTTCAATTTTCTAGTCTGCCTAAAATTCTAAAGTGAGAACAGATGAGCAAAGAGAAATTGCTTTCAAGTATGATTTCAGACTTGCAAATCCGATGGCTTTCTCTTTAGGCTAAAGTAGGGGTTGGGGTTATTTGGTTGGCTAACACCGGATGGCAATATAAATGTAAGCTCTTTTCGGCCAGGACCACTCAGTTTTTCCACAGGAGATTTTCACAGGTTTCTGCCTAGGTTCTAAAAACAGGGTGGAGGAGAAGACTGGCGGTCCTACTTCTCACAATGACTAATGGTTGAGCCTTCATCATAGGCCTGGCCCGGAGTACTTGGACAGGCCTCAATAAGTAGCCATTACTTCCCTGAGCCTCAGTTTCCTTCCTTTTAAAACAGGCCCAATAGCATCTATCGCTCAGCATCTTGTAAGCTAGATAGGATGTAAAGAAAAGCATTTGCTGATAGAGAGCCTTGAACCAGTGCTAGCTATTATTATTACTGATAGCAGAAATACAAAGGAAATTCAACCATATGTTCAATGTGTGTGTTGCCTCTCTAACCTCTTCAGCTGAAGGCTGGTATGAAGATGCCGACTGGCATCCAGACACATGCGATCAGATAGGTAGGAGCTCGGGCTTACTAGACCTAAATTTAAATAAAGGAATGATTGAGGGAAGAAAATAAAATACATTGCCAAGTTTCTACACCTCTAATTTGACCTAAGAGGTTGAGAGGGCTTGCCTGCCCTTTTCTGAAGTGGGAGAATGCCCGCCTTAAGCGTGGGAGCTGCTATACTTTCAGAAGCTCTCTCCTCTCTCTTGCATAACCAGTGAGGTCAACGTGGCCACCTTCCTGAAAGCTGAGCGTGTCATTTCTGAACAAGGTCCAACGCTGAAGTCCATTCCATAGAAATCCGTGAAATGGTACTGGACATTTAGTCCAGTGGCGTCGAATCCTGGTGGTGGTCCACATTCTTTCATTTGTTTGTTTGTTTGTTTTTTAAACATTTTATTAGGGGCTCATACAACTGTTATCACAATCCATACACACATCAATTGTGTAAAGCGCATTTGTACATCGTTTCTCAAAACATTTTCTCTCCACTTAAACCCCCGACATTAGGTCCTCATTTTTCCCTCCACCCCCCACTCCCCCCTCCCTCATGAGCCCTTGATAGTTTATAAATTGGTATTTTGTCATATCTTGCCCTGCCCAACGTCTCCCTTCACCCACTTTTCTGTTGTCTATCCCCCAGGGAGGAGGTCACATATAGTTCCTTGTAATCGGTTCCCTCTTTCCTACCCATTCTCCCTTTACCCTCCCTGTTTCGCCACTCACACCACTGGTCCTGTAGGGCTCATCCATCCTGGATTCCCTGTATTTTCAGTTCCTATCTGTACCAGTGTACATCCTCTGGTCTAGCCAGACTTGCAAGGTCGAATTCGAGTCATGGTAGTGGGAGCAGGGAGGAAACATTTAGGAACTAGAGGAAAAGTATATTTCTCATCGTTGTTACATCGCATCCTGACTGGCTCATCTCCTCCCCGAGACCCCTCTGCAAGGGGATCTCCAGTGGCCTACTAATGGGCTTTGGATCTCCACTCCGTACTCCCCCCATCATTCACTATGGTAAGATTTTTTGTTCTGATGATGCCTTATACCTGATCCCTTCGACACCTCGTGGTTGCATAGGCTGGTGTGCTTCTTCCATGTGGGCTTTGTTGCTTCTGAGCTTGATGGCCGCTTGATTACCTTCAAGCCTTTAAGGGTGGTCCACATTCTTAACACAGTCACGTTAGTGCCTTCGAGCTCCCCATGACCATAAGATTCCAGAATTTGAAACAAAACTGCTACAGCGTGGGAGAGCATCCTGGGGTAAATCTATCACTATATGAAGTTCTAAATTAGCTACAGGATTTTTCATTATGATTGAAAGCCAATCAGAGAAAGAAAGGGAAATAAATGACTTGACACTGTGTAAGCGCTGGAGCGAGGGTGCAGGTAAACTAGCATTGTAGGAACGAACACAACACACACACACACACACACACACATCCAGGCAGAGCTGCGTGTTGCTACCTAAGAGGCTGATTAAACACTGAGCCTGCTGACTCCCTGTGCCACTCCCAGAAAATAATGAATTGGGTAAGGAACGGTTAATAAGAAATGTGCCTTGCTAACTGTGCACATTACAACAAAGAGCTGGCAGCTCCTGAAGGAAAAGGGCTTGTGCTGCTGCTGTTCAAACTTGTCAGTCAACTCGTGCCAACAGCCTCGGCGTCTCCTCCCCAGCGCACCCTCATTACACGGTCTGTCTGACCTCATCTGTGCATCTGCTCGCAGACGCTCCTGACAAGCCGGCAATTGCTCCTTTTTCTCCCCGGCTGAAAAGAACGGATTCCACCCCGCTTCTGCTCGGTCGCCCCCACCCCGCTCCCCAAGGAGGCTCCTGGCTTTATGCTAGTTTGGGACTTCCTTCCCAGGCAGCCCGTCCTTGATTCCTAGAATGGAAGAAGCTGAGCTGGTGAAGGAACGACTCCAGGCCATCACAGTAAGTCTGCGTACAGTTTTAACTCATGACGGCGGTGGCTGTGAGGCACGACGGGCACGTTGTGAGTTTGTCCCTGTCGCTGCCGAGCCCCTGTAAGTGGGAAAACAGAACTGTCAGCCTTCACGGAGGGACACTTCTGGCCTTCTCCCTTAACCCTTTATGACCCACTGGGCTTCAGAAAGGGAAGGCTTTGATGCTCACAAAGTCTGTGCCTGCATTTCAACAGCCATCAAAAACTCCAAATGCAGTTTGATGAGCTAATCGCTCACCATCGATGTACCTTAGAAATGCAGGTTTCTCCTTAAATGTACATGTTTGGACTGTAGTGACAAGATCCCCAACTTTAAACCAATGAATGTATTTTAAAAGTTGGGTTAAGTTTGTTTGTTTGCTTGTTTGTTTGTTTTTAAGAGTAGGAGAAAGAGATTTTCCTTAATATATTAAATTTTTAATATAAGAAAAACACCACCTGAAACGTTTAATGGCATAGCGTAGTTCCAGGAGTTTCTGGTAGTGCGTCCCAGAAATCCTAAGAGAGCTCAAATGAGCACTGGTCCAGCAAGGCAAGGCACTGAACAAGGGCAGAGTAAGTAAGCACACAAATCAGATTAACTCCACCCCATCAGTTTCTATCCGCGTCCCAAACCCAGTAAGATCCTGATAAAGGAATGCAGTGCCTGCAACGGATTTGGAAAATACTTTAATACCAGGAAGGAAAGTAGTTGTTTTGGGTTTTTTTATGTTTGTTCTGGGAAAGGATCAAAGCAAGATATGAATTATTTTCCTTAAATGATCCAACTTCTTATTTCACTTTTTATAAAACTGTAACCTGGAAATTTAAGGTACTATCACTTATCCTTAGCAACAACGTATGATATAACTTTCTTAAGAAAGAGTCTATGGAAATTGACAGCCCACTTTCTCTGAGTGCTCTGCCACTGTCAGGGCTGGGAAAGTTCGTACTTTAAAAATTAGTAATGCTAAATCGGGGTGGGTAGTAGAAGTTTTTTCTTTTGTTTTCCTTTTTTTTTTTTTGCCTCTCTTCTCTTCAAATCTACACCAGACGAAAACAATAAGGCATATCCCAATCTAGGATTCTTAATAAATGGATACAATGTTTCAGTTCTACCCTGAAAGCAGTCAAGGATTTGAAATGGCTTCTTAGCCAGTGAGGAGGAACCAGGAGCCCACTGCTAAGATTGGCATCTTTCTATAAGACAATAGTTTTTAACTTCTTTCTGTTGTTGTTGTGTTTAACTTCTAATGAATACATATCCTTTTCTTCAGAAAGCCCTGGGTTGTCGTTGATTCTGTTTCCTTTTCGTTGACAAAGTCGCCACAGTTTCAGCTGTCCTCTTTGAAGGGACGGGAACTCAGCTCTGCTCTGTTGCTTTTGGCACAGGCCTTCGCCATTACAGCTGTGTAAAGGTCACTTTATCAGTCTCTGTGAGCTGCGTGGGTACAAGCTCTGAGTCTCCGAACGCGTCTACTCTTAATTCACTAAATGAAGTCACATGCCTAGTGAAATACAAAAGTAGCCGCTTATGTGTTCCAGGTTTTCATTTTTGAAATGGGTCACATTCTTGTTTAAGCCTTATTGCTTCTAAAATACCTTATAATGCTTACTTAAGCAGGATGCGTTCTAGAGCTATAGCCGGGTTCAGTTCTTCAGAAAGGCAAGGAATTGCCATTCAGACTTACCCATGCAGAAAGGGCTAGAGCCAGATCCATAATGCCTTCAAAGCAGACAGGAGTTTAATAAGTAAGTTCCTGAAGACACAGGTGTGTGATGTTTGACCACACAACTATTTTTGTTTGGTTCTACTACAAACAGATGTATACCACCAGAAAGAATGACACAAATTGTTGGGGTAAGATCACAAGATTAATTCTGTCTTGGAAGTATTATACTAGTATAATGGTTGTAAGGTGGGACATTTTGGAAAAGGTAAAATGACAAATTGTCAACTAACCTAACCTCTTACCAGTCACACTTGTCACACTTGGAGGGAAAACTGAGCAGTAATCGAGTGCATGGAAACAACTCACACACTCACCTCCTGGACAGCTGGAAAATGCCACCTTCCTCCAGCCTTGCTTTAGCAGGAAGGCTCCTCAGCTACCCACTGCCTGCCGGGGAAAGGTGAACACGCAGTATCCTGAGAGTGGGCAGAGGAAAGTTCATTTCTGGATGCCGTCAAGCCCTTCAGGAACTCGGACCTAGACCAGAACCCAGAGTGAAATGGAAGCTGGGAGTCCCCAGAGGGAGAGGGAAATCAAGGAGTGGAGCGGGTGAAGAGTCAAGGACAGGGGGCTGTTGATGAGTCCTTCAAACTGTTGAATGCAAAGTGGATGATCCGAAATGCAAAGCCCCACCTAATTTATATATTTTAATTATAATAAATAAGTAAAACTCAGACACAGTTCTCTCATTTTAACTGGCTTCCTCCTACTCCTTTGCATGAAGTTCATTTCTAATCTACTTGGAGCACAACACAGAAACTAGTAGATTTTGTTTTGGAAGACAAAAAATAGCCTGTTATGATCCAAGACCTATTTAAAATTTTTTTTCTGATTCCTGGCTGTGAAATGAGATAATTGTCACTTTTGCATTTATTCCACCTGACTGTGAGTGTCTGAAATGTCATGATTTCTGCTGCAAGGAAGTTAGTAAACAAGTGCATATGTTTATAATTTAACAGAATTAGCCTCCAATCTTCCTATTCCTCTTTCAAAAAAAAAGATTCAATACAGGAAGTAGATGGGCTGTGGCACTTAGGCTCTCTAATTGAAAACTAAATTACAATAATGGTGCCATTCGTTCCTCCTCTCAGTAAATTGAATTTTAAACTTGTCAGAAGCCTGGTCTCAAGGACACAAAGAGCGTAAAGACAAAATTATGAAAGGATATAGGAACTACTGTTTAAAAGAAAGCACTTAAGTTTGGGATACAAAATATGAATTCCATTTGACAAAAGTACTTCATCTCGTGCCCCTCGTTGATTACCTGATCTGTGCACCAACTCACCCCTTACTAAGCTGACAATCAAAGTACCCCTGAATCAGAAGTCAGATTTTAACTACAACTCAAAAACCAGGGGTTCTGCAAACTGCTCAAATACTATCTTTCGTCTCTTAAAAGTCTCTTGAGGGTCTTTTCAAGTTAATAGATGTTTGTTTGTTTGTTTGTTTGTTTTTAATAGATGGTTTTAACAAGTAGTTTATTTATATACAAAAGAGAGCTGCTAAAATAAGTTATACACAATAGAATTTTTTCCCCCACAATTGACTTTTAATATTAGGCTCTGTGATAGAATTCTCACCTTCTATGCAGGTGGCCCGGGTTTAAGTCCCAGCTAGTAAAGCTAATGCATAGCTTCCACCTGTCTGCCAGTGGGGCTGTGTGTTGCTATCAAACTCAGCAGGTTTCATTAAGGCTTCCTGACTGCAGATTCAGAAGAAAGCCCTGGAGAACTATTTGGAAAAGAATCAGCCCATGTAAACCCTGTTTGTCACAATGGTTTGATCTCATGGGTCACCATGAGTCGAGGGCCAACTTCACAGCAGCCAACAACAGTGACACTTGCCATGCCCATCGTGCCTTCAGCACGCCCTGACACAATTACTCCTACGGAGTCCCTTTCTGGGCAAAAGCATGGCCTATGCTGAAGAACAAGTACAAACACCCAGGAGAAATCCCCTCAGGGTTGGTGACACCCCATACACTCTTGAAATCCTCCTCCACAAAGAACACATTGTTTTATTATCTCCAGTGGAGTTAGAAAATACTGTGGCTAACTAATAGGTGATACTCCGGCTGGGAAATCCTAGATCTTCAATTGACTCTCACCTTCCCTCACTCTACCCCCCAAAAAGTGTTGAGATGTGTCCATTTCAACTCATAGAGCCCCTCTGAGACAAGGTAGAATTTCGAGACCCGGTAAGAGCTTATAAGACAAGGTAGAACTGGGTTCTTCCTTTGGGTCTCCAAGACTAAATCTTCAAGGGAGCAGAAAACCTCATCTTTCTCCGGGAGAGTCACTGGTGGAGTCAGACTGCTGACCTTGCAGATAGCAGGCCCAGAGGAGCCCAAATGATCATATCATAAAACCCAGAAAACCACTCCTCTCAAGTTAATCATAATGACCCTCCATAGAGTTTCTGAGACAGGAACTGTTTATGGGGAGCAGAGAACACCATCTTTCTCCTGAGGCAGCTACTGAATTCGAACCACCTACCTTGCGATTCACAGCCCAATACTTACATTACCACCAGAGACCATGTACTCACAAAAAGAGTACTGTTTGAGAAGTGCGCACAGAAGAACTCTGAGAACCAGAATCAATTTGCTGAGGACTGACCTCGCCGAGGCGAAAAGAGCAGAAAGCTGACGTTTTGCTTAGCTTTAACCTCTAGCCAGGTGTGTCGGCAACTGATTTCCTCATTCACTTATTTCACAAGTGTCTCTCAAGCCCCACCTCTGTGCCAAGCCTATGGATCTAAAAAGAAAGAAATGCAGTGGGCTTGGGAGTGGGTTGAAACTTTAAGTAGCGTGGGCAGATGGGCCTCGGTGGGACAGTGAAATCAGAACGTCTATTTGAAGGACAAGGAGCATCTATGGAAGTTAGGCAGCAGTAAAAATCACAAGTACAAGCACCTGCCTGGGGCTGACTCCATTCTGGAAAAGAGCCATATAAAGTCCTGACACTGGAATCTGAGCAACTGAGCCAGGTTTGCCGGCCAAAGCTGCTCATGGCGCAGAAAACGAAGGGCATCTCACATTTCCTCGGGTCCACGCTCTAGTTCTTTCCCCTCACAGAGAGTTTCTTCTTGACTTGTAAAGGTGGCCACTGAGGACGTGAAAATCTCTCTCCATGATGCAGAAACCCCCCCCAATGTGGAGTTACATATTGAAACACACACTCGGGTTCTAGTTTATTTCTTTGGCATCTGTTCCCTGCTCCTGGGTAACTCCGCGCATTCATTCCCATTTTGTCAAG